ATGATCAATACTGATCAGTACAATCTATATCATCAATACTGATCAGTACAATCTATATAATCAATACTGATCATTACATCTATATGATCAATACTCACCAGTAGCAGGATCGATGTTGATGACTCTTCCTCCGTTGTAACAGGCGACCCAGAGACGACCTTCTGCATCAACCGTCATCCCGTCAGGGAGCCCCTCCCCCTCCTGCATAGAGTATACCATACGACGGTTACCTAGGCAACAAAAACAACAATTAGTCATGTTTTATATTCATGTGTTTACTGCAGTATAAATAAATATATAAAGGGACGGTTACCTAGGCGACCAGTGTTCAAGTCGTAATCGAAGGCATCGACCGTCAGAGACAAAGAGTCAATATAGAAAAATGTCTTGTGATCCAAAGACCAGTCCATTCCATTAGATATGTCCACCTGAGAGTGAGACAGGTACAGAGACAAATAGAAAAGTGTGAGACAGACAGACAGGTACAGACAGACAGACAAGTGAAAGAAAGATAAGGTTACCTCACCTGGCTCAGTTGTGATGTCACTCTGAGGTCTGACGTCACGGAGAACAGCGCCCCCTGTCGTCTCTGAACCTCCGCAGGTCGCTGCTCTGTCCCCATTGTACCTGAGAGACATCACACTGTTACCATGGTAACAGACTGATGAAGACAGGCGACCAGGTGAACACTCACCTGCCAACAGTCGACCAATCACGTCCACCTTCCCGTCGTTCAGTCTATTGTTTGGTTTGTCCTCATCCACCTCCACCAGTGATGTCATCGCTTCAGTCGACCAATCAACAGCCACGATGCTGCGACCCACACCTGCTACATAACCACCGGACCTCCGAGGGACGGCAAAGCTCACTGTGTCACCTGAGGACAGACAGACAGACGAGAGACAGACAGGTGAGAGACAGACTCTGTGATTACTCAGATTCTATGCATAACAGAAATAAATTGAGTGTGTCCAGCATGCTGATTGGCTCACCGGTCTCCACAGACTGGATCTGATTGGTTCTTGGACTCCAGCGGTGAATCTTCTTTCCAGCAATGTCAACAAACAGCAGCATCTGCTCTGACTCCTCCCACACTGGTCCTTCACCAATCAGGGCGCTGGATTTCACTACACACTCCACCTGTACTGAAGACATCCTTCTCACCTATTGGTCTGGACCAATCAGGATCGTCTGTGAAGATAAAACAAGTAAATAGAGTTTCAAGTACTGAATACTGCATATGACATAATACTCTATATCTACTCAGTAATACACTATGTAGTAATGCCCCCGTGACGAAAAATCATTTTACACACCACACAGTATATATAGTAAATTACATGATTACCATATAGTGCGTGTGGTAGTACTGATACTGTAATGTCAGTACTGTTACATGTTACATTACGCTATACATCGTAATAGTACATACATACATACATACAACACGAGTACCGGTATATACTGAGTACTGTAGTCCTACCTACTACAACATAATATGTAACATGAAGTAGCACAGAGTACATATACAAGTACTGACTATAATTACTTCACATTATACTGTAAATCTATTGTAATGTCGTACTAAGTGAAACTGAGTAACAATACACAGTAGTTAGAATAGAATGCTTAAGTATCATTGAGTACTCAGTAATGCTGCATTACTCAGAGATACTACAGCATTGTTAAAGTCCAGCAGTCCTAAGTAGTATTACTAGAGTACTGCAGTATTACTGTATATAACTTTATTTACAATCTCTTCTCTGCACGCGGCTCGAAGTGAACTGAACATATCTGGGACGTCACGTGACTCGTTTAACGTAGACAAACGTCCTGTTTGTGAAAAACTCACAAACTGTCACTAGCTTATAAACACCTGTCACTTACGTAGATAACGTTTCTGTGAATCCGCGGAAGTTTCAGTCAGTCTGAGTGAAAAACGACAAAGGTCTCGTGCTGTTGAAACTTTGACCCGTAGCTCCGCTCCGCCTCCTCCTAACGCCACACCCACACTGACGTCACACAGTGACATAAACATAAAGGTTTAATTACAAACAGTTATAAATATATACATTTATAATTCATGGTGAATTGTTCCGAGAAAACATGAATAAAACATTTCACTCCATAAAAGACCAGAAATAATTAAAATTCTTCATTTATCATCAATAAAACTGATCAGATTTTCTTTCAATTGATACTGGTGAATTAATCTCAACCGCCTGATGTCATGTGATCACATATCTCCTTTACAACGGTGGTGGTTGACTGTGAAAGCTCAAGAAACATATGAAAAGTTTCAAAGTAAAGGTAGATTCTCAAATACAAACATAAGTAAAAATGTGAAAGAAATGAATCATCTAAAATATAAAAAAATAAACAGACAAGGGTGAGGGTCACTGGTTTTCTGGTACCGAGCTTTTAATGTGAAGGAGCATCAACAGGAAATGTTATAAACCGGAAGGGGAAATGTTCAGAGGAATAAAAGGATAGAAACAATGTCAGAGACAAGAGTCCATTTGAGGTTTGTTTACATTTTATTATTGTGTTTGACAGGTTTACCTTAGTGAGTGTGTGTGTGTGTGTGTGTGTGTGTGTGTGTGTGT